ATCTGAGATTTTAACAGTTAATTAATAATCACAGATCACTAAGAAATTTTGTTTTAAAAGGGATGTAATGATGTGAGTTGCAATGCACAGTGATACAGTGGGATGAAAAGATGCATGAAAGTTTTTATGAACACTTATAAAATTTGAAAAAATGTGATCTCCCTTTCATATAACCATAACACCTTCGTGCACTAAATATTAAAAGCAAATCTTCAATTTGTGGGGGCTTTTTTTCTATCTCTTCAGCTCACTGTAGTCAGGGTCCACCTCAAATTCAGTCACTGCTGCAATACATTTCAAAACCTAATCTACTAAACTCAGATAAGAACACTTGCTGCTGTAGTCTAAGTATACACCAGGGCTGAGTCCCTGGTGAGACACACCTCAATTATTAATGTTACGAACTTTAAAGCAGAAGAAGCTATCATAATTGCAATGGTGAAGTCTTTGCCTTGCATGCAAATTGGTTTAGAACTGCATTTTAAATCTTATTGTTGTACAGAGCCAACACAGGTAGCAAAACCTAAGAATAGCCACCCGCATCAAGTATGAGACACAGATGAAACAGAGAAGCAAGGTTCATCAGTATATTGAGATCAATTGTTTTGAATTTACTGACAGCCATGGTAATTAGACAGATCCCTGGAGGTGAAAATTTGTATCTACTGGAGCCAGTCTGTCTTACTTTCCCCAACATTTGACGCTGTCTTTCTGTCTGTCTCTCTTGATCTTTCTTTTCCTTCCCCCAGCCCCCCAAATGTTTAAATATACATCAGCTTGGAGCAAAGGATGTGGGGAGATAGGGCGATTGTGACTGATATGATGAAAATGGTGACTGCAGTGAGATGTTACACACTGTACCAAAACAATACATCCACAACAAATTATTTGTGCTGTGAAATTCTAGACATTAAGGACATGGGGATTCAGGACAATTTCTACTGGATGCCTCGCAAGAAGCTCTGGCCAGTATGGATGACACCGCCATGTATCTGGATTCAAACTCTACTGGATTTGGACGAGAGAGAAGACTGATCATCAAGACCATTTATTTCCCACATTTTTTTTTCCTCCATTCTGTTCTCACACTGTGATTTAGCAGCATTTGTTCAGCAGTTGCCATGTTTGGTGCTGAGTCAAGAATTCAAAATCAAACAGCCCACAGAGTTTCCACTCAAGTGGCTGCCACTCCCATCTCTCAACCACATGAAATTTTCTCCACAATTACTGATGCTGGGAGACAGATCTCCCAGCAGAAAAAGCAGCTGACCTTAGCAACTCATCTAAGTGACCATGGACCCAGGCATTAACAGTATAGTGAATGGTGAAAGGTAAGGTCTGAACAGGGTACTCCAACAAATCCCAATCCTGCCGTCACTTGGCATCTGCATAGCAAGACTCCACTGTACGCCAAAACCATTTGATGTCCTCCAGAAACAAGAACGCAGGCTGATGTGTCATACTCCAAGTCCTCTCGCATAGAGGAAAACTGCAGCAAGCCAACAGCAGAACAGGGTCAACAAACCAGGTGCTCAGTTAAAATCAAAGCGGAAATCTTCCAGTCTCTACAGTTTGGACTTAACACATTGCAACAGCTTTATCCATCAGTTGAGAAGTTTCCAAATCACAATCTTGGGCATTAGGCCACAAGAGTTTCTTTTTTCTGTTAATTTGCCAATTCTTGAATTCTATTGGCCTATAGGATTGCAAAGGGCTACCGTCAGCTGTGCACTAATTGATGCATCCTAAATCAAAACATTAAGATCTTGCTCAGAATTTACCCTAATATAACAGTCCATTTGATTTAACTGATCAAGTACTATTTGCCACTACAGTCCCACTAAACCTACCAGGATATCCTCTCTCTAGTGCTTATAAATTTCCTTTTAAATATATCTGTGTTATTTGCATCAAATTGTGTGGTAGCGAGTTCCATATTATAAGTTCTGAGTAACAATTTTCTCCCGAGTTACATACTAAATTTATTAGTCACAACTGTACTTTCATGATCGTATAGCTTTGGGGCTCCCAGCAAGTGAGAGCACATTTTGTGTCTCTCCCATTTAGGGGTGATGTAAAAAAAATTGGAAAATACAAAAAAAAACTGCATCAAATTACCAAGAAGCTATCAGATTGTTGACGAAAGTCAACTCGTTCACTGATATCCTTCCTGGACAAAGCCTTACTGAGCTCTGGGCCACACTGACACTCAGCTGCCCTCAGAAACAATTCAGCAAACCACCTCAGTTAGTTGTAAGCAATCACACACAGTCTGTAACAGTTCAAGGTGGTGGTTCCCAGAGAAACCAGGATAGGCAATCAATTCTGGCCTTGCCAGCACTGTCAAAATTCCAAGAATAAGCCAAAATAAAACTATAAGAGGCATTGATTTAATCATTCTATGACAGGCATCATGAGACTTTTGCATTAAGGAAGCCATGCTCAAAAAGGTTTTCATCACCCAAACGTGATATGTAACAAGCCAATGACCATCTCCAACTCAATTTGCAGATTAAACTCTTTTGTTATATGCATTAAGTCTTCAAGTCAGTGCAACTGAACTTTTTATCAATGAGAATTCTATAAATGGAAGCGTCACATTGGAGCAGAGAATGAATGTCTTTCAGAAGATAATGTTCAGGGATCTTACTGTAGTTATTTAGGAGGAGTATTTATGAATGGTGCATGGCACAGCAGTCACCAAAAAGCAGGAGGAGAAGAATAAGCAATGGAAACACGCATCAAAAATAAAAAAAAAGTAATGCAATCAATACAAGTTTCACATTTCACACAGGAGATGCTGAGTGTTTCTTCAAACCATACTTTTTGCAACCATAAGGTGGCACTCTCAGTTAATTATCAAAAGATCCAGGAAGGGCACACATCCTATTTCTGTATCACACTGCCAACCACCAACGCATCATGTGACACCAATGCCAACACTCAACATGGGTCCAAAATAATTCTGTTCAATGTAACCCTGCTGTGTATTCTACTGGCTTTTCTCATTTTTGTTGCGGTCACTAAAATGCCTTTCGATAATTCTTCTCCATCTTCACCCATCAGTCACCTACTCCGTCACTAATCCTGCTGCTTCTGCCAAGTGCCTCACTACTGCCTTTTTCTGTCTGGTGTTAGACCTTCCAGTTCTCCCTCTGGCAACCCCATCACTCATCTCCTCGCAAGTTGTCTCCCTCTCCACAACAAATGACCACAGCATTTCAATCTCATCTCATCTACTTTCTTCAAAGTTTTTACAATCGTCACTGACCCGTTGGTGTACTGGTTCCTGATCTTGCCCTTTCTTCAGACTCTGCACAGACATCTCAACAGCCCCCAGTCACTGTTCCTCTCTTCTTGATGTCACCCATGGTTTTGCATAATATAAACGAGACTGGTCTCTCACAACTGACTTTAGATGCTTTCTATCAGATTCAGTGATGCTTCCCTATCACATGACACTCTGGTGCACTGCACTCTAAGCAGAGCTAAACCCATTGTTTCATTTCCTTTTCCATACTTCCATCTTCCATTACCACTGATCCCAGGTATTTGAAATAACATATTTTCTCCAGTTTTAATACAAATTCAATTGGTTTAATTTGCACTGTGTGTAACAATGATGCTCAGTGGGTTTTCTTTACACCCAAATCACTTAAAATTAGTAAAATTCAGCACTGTTATATGTACAGGCATATTTGGAATACACTGTCTGGTAGGGTGGGGAAACAAATTCAATTGTAGCTTTCCAGAGAGAATTAGATGAACAGTTGAAAGTCAAAATACTGCAGGGATATGGGGTTAACTGAATTACTCTTTGAAAGAGCCAGTACAGACTAGAGGGGCCAAACAAACTTTCTCTGTGCTGTACGAGTCTAGGATTCTACCCTTTGCTGTGAAAATATCACGCAGGGTAGAATACTTTTGTTTTGTCACTATTCTCAGACACTCTGTCTGCCCAATTCTCTCCTCAGTTCCAAAGGTGTTGTCTCACACTGGAGTATGAGGCTATCAGCACCACCTACATGCCTGCACCTCTCCCATATGTGAGAGCCTACCCATGAGCAGCCAGTATTCATATTCACTCAAGTAGGGGGGGTCACTGGAGAGCTGTTCCAAGCTGATTCTGCCTTGCCTACCCACCCATCCAGCTGAGATCAGCAAGTCATAAAAATCAGTAAGTCAGTAACAGATGAATTCCCGGTCCGTATGACTCAGATCCATCCGAGAAGGAACATTTAATCAAGCAAGCTTTGTAGTGCTGGAGCTATTCCATTCTTTAAGGCCACTTAAACTCAGAACTTTGTAGAACACTTAAAACTTCCTCACGAAGAAAATATTACCTGCAAAGTGAGTAAATCTCAACCAAGCTGATATTAAACACAATGTACAACTGCACAAGGAACATAATTTTGTTCCTGCATTTTGGATCTATATTAGTCAGAAAAACATCAGTTCTTGATGAGTAATTTGGTGGCTGGTTTTGCTGACACCACAAAATGATGTTCTCTCTTTGGGGTATTTCCTTTCACAGAGAAGAAGAAAGTTAGCTGAATATAAACACAGTGCTAATGAAGCAGATTTCCACAAAAGCAGGGAGCCCTTATCTGCATACTCACAAACTCTAATTATATTTTAGTACACAGCATGGCCAAACACTGAAGAGAAAACAATGATGAGTCAGAGTAAAGCTGACCAAATATTAAATCCAAACAGGGTGGATTGAAACCACAGAGTATAATGCTTTGTGTTCACTGTAACAAAAACTAGTATGTATTAAGAAAAATGCCCCTACTATAAGGTGGAACTGCAATGCAAGGTACAAACTTCCCCACAACCCTGCAGTACAGTCAGTCAGTCTCACGATGGTTTATTTTCAGACTCCACTTAATGAAATTCACTCAAAAGAGAATCCTGAATCCATTATTAAAATTAACATGATCCATTGTCAAGAGTTCAGGGAATGCTGCAACATCTGATTATCGAACAAAGAAACCAACCTGATAATCCTGATCATCAATGGAAAATCTCTCTCTCAGGTTTCTGAAAACCATTGGACAATATTCCTTAAACTTGAAACGGCTTGGAAGATTCTCTCTGTGAAATAAATAATAAACAGTTTCATCAAAGAAGGACTTGTAGCTCTGTTTTAATTTGACAAAGCAGTAAATGCCTATGAATCAAATGTCTCTTCCTCCCACTCACCATCCTGTAGGAGTCTAGTCATGCACAGTGAATTGCAAAGACTTGGTTGATTCTATTTACATTGCTGTACTACCTAAATTCATTCTCATCTCTCAACTAGAGACTGTGGCCCAGATATTCCAATGGGAAGACCCTAGTATCACTGCAGGGACACACCCTCCCTTCCCCCACACTCAAGTCTCCCCTCCAACAAATATCCCACCCCTCAGAGTCAACACCTCAAACTCAACCATGCCCACACCTCCACCCAACTAATTCCGACTCCTTCATCTACTTCCCCGATCCCAAAAAGCATCCACCAGTCGTATCCCAGACCTGAGCCCTAACATCAGCTCCCCACCCACCCTGACCTGGGGGCAACTGCTCCCCCCCACCCCCTCCACGGACCTGGCATTCCAATCCCTCAGCCAACTGCTACTCAACCTGTCATCCTACCCACCCACTTACCTTCTTTTGGGAACTACTCGAGTGGCTTCAGGAAACTTGCAATATGGCAGCTAGTGTTAGAAGGAAGGTGCGATTTCAACACCAACCACTTTGCTATCAGCTGCCTGCATTCCTGGACTGCAACGCACTGCTCAGCGGGGAAGACTCCTGGCCCAAGTAGTCATTTGGAGAACGATGGCTGATCAGGTTCAGAAATCAGCTGTCTGACCCCATTCAGAAGATCTGGACCTTTGATTTAATTATAATTTTCAACAATAGGGGAATCACGGGGACAAAAAGGATGCAACAAAAGGATTTTGATTTTACATCCAGCCATTATTTCTTTTTGTAACCGCATCCACTCCTCCTTTCAATGAGGAGACAATGTCAAAGACTTTATTTAGGATGATAGGTCGGCACAACATCATGGGCCAAAGGACCTGTATTGTGCTGTACTGTTTTATGTTCTATGTTCTATGACTGACTATAATTATCAACGGTTCCGACTGTGGCTGATCTGAGATCACCATCAATTGAGATTTACTTCTTAACCTTGCAAAGTAGTGACCCAGAATTAGTATTAATATAATTACATTGCTGCCCAGAGTTTGCACTGATATAGCAGTAATGTCACTGGAGTAACCATCTAGAACCCCAAGATAATATTCAACCATGGGGCGCTTGTGGTAGTGTGCCAGGAGACCAGGTTCATGTCCTATCTATTCCAGAGGTGTGTAATCACATTTCTAAACAGGTCGATTGAAAATATATCCAGAATTACGTTGCATTTGTTGTACAGAAACAGACTAGTCAGACCAACCATGTCAGTGTTTGTCTTCCAAACAAGCCTTCTCATTCATTATTCATTATTCCAGCTCACCCTTTCAGCATATCCTTCTGTTCCTTCATCCCTCTTGCTTTCCAGCTTTCCTTTAACTGAATCTATGCAACTCACCCCAGTTACATTCCATGAATGCCTGTAAGTTGCACTTCCTAAACAATCTCTGGGTGGAGAAGTTTGTTCAGAGTTTGTATTGGATTTATTGTTGACTACTGTATGCTTATGGCCCTTAGTTTTGGTGTCATTTGGAAACTGAAACATTTTCTCTAGATCCACCCTATTAAACCCTTTCACAATTTAAGAAAACCCTGATAGTCAGCCCTCAGTTTAACTTCTTTTAGAGAGAAAAAAAGAAACCCAGTTCTGGAGTTAATCAAATCTCAAATCACTGGACATTGAAATTTGACAATGATATTTACACAGGGAAATTTAAAGTAGATTGGCCATTGTGCACAATGCAACACTTCACCAGATTAACATTTCTTCTCTATCATTTTCCAAATGTTTATCTCCTTTTCCTCATGTCACAAACCATTGGAAGGTGGAGGACATGACCCTCTCTACATCAATGCAGCTGAGTTAGAAATGGTCGAGAGCATCAAGTTCCTAGGAGCGATGATCACCAATAATCTGTCCTGGTCCATCCACATTGATGCTACGGCCAAGAAAGCACAACAATGCCTCCAATTCCTCTGGAGACTAAGGAACTTTGGCATGTCTGTAAAGACCATTACCAATTTTTACAGATGCACCATAGAAAGCATTCTATCCAGATGCATCACGACTTGGACGGCAACTGTTTTTCCCACAACTGTAAGAAACTACAGAGAGTTGTGAACATAGTCCAGTCCATCACATAAGCCAAACTTCCATCTACTAACTTTATCTACACTTCTCACTGCCTTGGGAAGGCAGCCAACATCAAAGACCCCACACAAGCCAGTTATAATCTCCTCTAACCTCTTCCGTCGGGCGGCAGATACAAAAGCTTAAACACACGCACCAACAGATTCAAGAACAGCATCTTCCCCGCTGTTATCAGAATTCTGAACGGACCTCTCAAATTTTAAACGTTGATCGCATTCTTTGTGCACCATCTCTGCAGCCACAGCATTGTAATCTTCACTCTGTTCTATTACCTTAATACACTTTGTATTATCTACCTGTACTGCATGCAAAACAAAAAACTTTTCAAAACAAAATTAGGCACATATGACATTAATAAATCAAATCAAAAAAATTCTCATACAAAATAATTCACAGGATGTTCAGTATCAATGCTGCTCTTGCAGGCCACTGCATAGACGGTCAACAAAACAAGTCTAGCTCACTGATTCTTTCTAACACTTTACAGAAGTGCTTGCCTCTATCTTTTTCATCTAGCAACCAAGCCCTTTTCTGGAAAAAAGGCTGTGGGCTAAACTCACAGATGGATTAGATTACTATATCTTCTGAGGACATTGGAAAATCATTCAAATGTTCATAATTTAATCTGAATCCAAAAGCAAACACAATGAACCAAAAATGACTCATTATTTGAAGGGATTCTACGATTCTATTAAAATTAATCTATTATATTGAAAAAACCTTAAGACACTGCGTACTGTTTCATGCTCAATAAAACAAGGTTCAAAGGCAGGATATCATATATGAATGTTGGACAGCTAAATATGATCAGTTCAAAATAATTAAACTCCCTTTTTTGTCCGTACAATAAAATTAGAGAAAGCAACATCCACCTACTTGTTGAAAAGGTGATTGTCCACTTTAATCTTGCTGTATGCTTTGAAGTCATCTGGCATCAACATTACAGGAATCTGAACGTGGCTCAGCTCATTGATCTGAAAAGGAAACAGTTAATACTGTTAAACTCACTTTTATGGCAGACTGTATTAGCTCCAGTGGGTTGCGTGGGAAGGTACTGTAAATTTAAAGAAGGTTGAAGATGATTCACAGAAAACATGCTGATGTGAAACAAAATAAAGGAAATTAGTGGAAGCTAGTCAATTTCAGCACTATTCTATTACCACTATGTCCACTTTTACTGGTTTTTAATACTTCAAAACATTTTTGAGTCAAATGTAATTTGACAGTTTGGTTGCCAAATGCACTGGGCATATAAAACTGATCCACACAGAACATCGAAAGGTCCCTTTGGTTTGATTCCCAGTCTCTGCAAATATAGCCAAAGTGTCTGCAACAGCATAGCAATTCACTTCAGCGCCCCAGAGCTACAGAATGGAAAAACAATAAGGCGATGTCTGCTCCGGATTGCTGTTGATAACTTCTACAGAGTGCATGTTTCTGCATGCGTGCATTTGTGACTGAGGTGGGGGTAGTGGTGGTTGGACGGATGTGTGTTGGTATGTGGTAGGGGTTGGGTGTGCATTGGTGTGCCCAGGAATTGGACTGTATGTTGGTGCATGCACATGTGCATGGTGTGCACTCTTCTAACCATCCACATTCTAACAACCCTTGCCTGACAAAATTCTATTGAATCCCAGATGAACAACTTTTTTTGGGGGAGCAAGTTCCAGATTTCCAACACGATGGACGAAAAAGTACTTCCTGACATCTTTCTTACAAAGACTACCTTTAATTTGTCCTCCGTATTCTCGACTACCAGAAAAAAAAAGTTTCTCTCTGCCTACCCTGTCAAACTCCCTATCCAATCCTCAAATAATTTCAAAGTCAATTAGATCAGACATTAACCTTCTATTCTTATTGGAAACAACTGAGAGGAGAGGAGGTGTCAAATGTTGCCAAAGGTGTTGCATTGGCACATATATTTGTGTGGGTCCAAACAAATTCATTCTGAAATGAATCTATGTATTCGTCGTCATAATCTACCCCTTCTATCCCTGATAAATTTATCAAGATAAGTTGATGTTGGACACCTCGGCATTGGCAGAAAGGATAAGAAGCATTCTCACTAAGCAAAGAAAGGTGAGATGCCACAAAACTCTGCCTCAATTGCCAGGACCGATTTCTGGTTGGAAAGGTGTAAATTTTAATTTCATTCTTTATAAATTGACTTTAGTGGATTACCTCTGTATTTCAATTCTGATAAGAAATAGTCAGCCTTAAGCAGCATTTCTAAAATCAAACCATTATAGTCAGAGTTTCATTTTTGAAGGAAAAAAAATCACAACATTCCAAATTACAAATTCATTCAAACGACACTAAAAGAAAACAAAACAGAAATCTGACTTGCAATCTCATGAACAATTGAATTTGTTCAATTATTTCTTAACAGCTTTAGACATCACTGCCATTAAAGAGATGTGCCATAGCAATTTTTATTCCCTGACATAGGTGTCCTGGTATAAATGAGAAATTACTCCATTTTTGTTTCTATCAGTAAGGCCACAGCAAGTTCGCCAGTATCCTATAAATATTATGCAATGGTGTTATGCAATTTTGCTTCTATGCTTCTATGTTGGAATTCTTTCACAGAATCTGATCAGCTCTGACAAGACCAGCATTTATTCACCAATCCATATTATCCTCAAGAAGGTGGGTATGAATTGCATTCTTGACTAGGTAAAGCCTATGTAGCGCAGGGATGGAATTTTCTGGATTTGTAACCAGCACAAAGGAATAGTGAGTGATATTGCTCCAAAATCAAGAGGTGTGAGAATTGGAGGAAAAATTTCAAGTGGTAGTATTCCCATATGTTTGCTGCCATGATTGTCTAAGTTGTTCAGATCAGAAGTTTAGAAGCCGCTGTTGAATAGCTCAAGTGCAGTGCATTTTGCAGATGATCAACACTGCTGCTAGTGCATCAGTGTTGGAGGAAAATGAATGTTGTAGTTATATGATGGGGTGTAAATCAAGTGAGATGCAGCTTCTTAGATGCTGTTGGAGCTGCCCTCAGGCCGGTAAGTGGACAGTATTCTCTCATGATTGTGCCTTGCTCATAGTGGTCAGGCACTGGGAAATCGTCAGATTATTTACTTGCCAGAGAATTCCCAGCTCCTCTAGTAGGTGCAGTATTTATGTATCAGAAACAAATTGCTGGAGAAACTCAGCAAATGCGGCAGCACTTGTAGTGAGAAAGCCGAGTTAATTAACTGAGTTTCTAAACTTCTGCATTCTAAAGAAGAGCCACTGCATTTGAAACATTCTCTCCACAGGTGCTGTTGAGTCAAAGCAGAGTTTCTCCAGCAATTTCTGTTTTTGTTGCAGATTTCCAGCATCCACAGTTGTTTGTTTTATACTGTCGCAGTATTTGGTCCTATTAGGGTTACGATCAACGGAAATAACAAGGATATCGGTGGCAGAGAATTCAGCAAAGTTAATATCTTTTTACATTGAAAAGATATAGTTAGATCTAAATAAGGTAGCCATAGTCCTGTTGGAGCATAGAGCTACTTTCTGAGATAGAGCACAAATGATGTTTTAACCCGAGAGTTGCCACACTTCAGGACAGGGAAGAGTTTGAGAAGGAGAGTCCTCCATGAAAACCATAGTTGCTTGAACCCAAACTGCTGGCATCAAACTGCATCACAATCCAGCCATCCACCAAAAGAATGTATGCTGAATTCAAATGCAGTTTGTGCCATTCATGAGCAATACATGGTAGGATGTACTGCACAATTGCAGAATCAAGTCCTCCATTTTGTCTAAATCTAACACAAAAATAATTTGGAATAAATGTAGCACCTTTAATGACCTCAGGATATCACAAACACTTTTATAACCTATGAAATATTTTTAAAATATTTTTGGCCATTATTGGTCTCATGGGCAATGCAAGAGTCAAGTTACATACCACAATGTACTAATAACAAGGTAATGTGTTCTAATGGCACTAGAGGGAATCTCCTATTCTGGCATTCTTTATGTTCTGAGGGAGGGTCACTGAAGCCAAAATGTTAACTCTGATTTCTCTTCACCGATGCTGCCAGACCTGCAGAGTTAAGAGCATTGCATTACCAGAACACTACGTAATTTGCTTTCTTGTTTAAAACAAAACATAATTAGCAAATCACTAATTTAACACTGGATCATGCCACAAGTACACCCCACTACACATTTTTGTTTGCAAATCTTTACTTAATTCATGTTCCTAAGCCTGCAACTTGCCTCAGGTACACAATTATTAAACCCCAACACGTCAGGATGCTGCAAAAAAAAATAAAAAACATCTGTAGTTCCTATATTTATCTGTCACTTCAAGAAACTCTTCAATTAGCAACCCAGGTAGTAATCTGAATTACTAAAACAATAATTCAAAAACAGAGTTGCCATTTTTATATATCCGATAGTGGAAGTAGTGCTAAATACAACACAATTATTACCCAAGCACAGCATTGTACTGTAGCAAATCATAAATTGCAGAAACCAACAATCATTAGCTTACAGCAAGCAGTTACAAGACAAGTAACAGGCATCAATTGAAATTTCTTTAGCTGCTCCATTGTAATTCTCTTAACATAACCTGCATAATTATGATTTTTGTATAAGTGTTTTGTTAACCTAAATATTTTACAATTAAAACAGATATTATTCTTGGCAAGCTTTTTTAAAGAAACCTAACTTCCATTGCAGCTTTTTTTTTTAAATTCACGAGACATGGGTGTTACTGACAGAGCCAACATTTACTGCCTATCCCCAGTTACCTTTGAGAAGGCAGTAGTGAACTTTAATCATGAAAAGGTGACTGTCACACTTTCTTATTGATAGAACACAAGAGCAAATTGGATTTTTATACAGCACCTTTTGAATAAATCTTTGTCCTGAGGCAATGTAACCAGATTAAAAAATACAATATCAAAGTAAGAGACTTTAGAAGAAGTGATTGGTTAAAGGGGTTGGTTTTAAAGGAGCATAGTAAAGAAATGCAGAGGGGGTGATTTTGGGAGGGAGCATTTTTGTGAAGGGTTTTGATAAGGGTCATCGGACCTGAGACGTTAACTCTGATTTTTTCTTCATAGATGCTGCCAGATCTGCTGAGCTTTTCCAGCAACTTTGTTTTTTCCTATTTACAGCATCCGCAGTTCTTTCAGTTTTTACTTACAAAGTACAAGATGCTTTACATTTGCAACTTCAACTCAGCGAGTTATTTCAATCAAGTTTCAAACATTTACAGATGAGTCATTTGCTTTTGCATGTTAAAATGCCAGCAATCCCAACTCCCAATGGACTGTCAGGCACAAAACTAAATATTGAACCTGTATAGATAGTATATCCTACTGAGCAATGGATAGTCAGACAACTGCTGGATTAAGAGCTGAGTCAGGGGAAAATAATCAATCAAAAACACTCAATTTGATTCGACCTGGTTTATGCAAAATCAACCTCAAATTCCCATGAAAATTCTGTTAGATAATAGAGAGCTAATTTGACTTCTACCATGAAGTCTTTGAGAGTTTGTTCATGGCTTTCAATTTGGGTTTCTCATACATGTTCTTGGATACCAATTAAAAGAAAATCTATTGAACGTACTCTCTGTGGAACAGGTGGGGCAATAGTCAAGACATAGACTTTCACCCCAAACAGTGTCAAATTCAACCCAGCCATTAGGGAAAACATCTCAACTGACCACTGCCTAGAAAGGTCACATACAAAATGGTCTGAATATAGCTCCTTGTAGACAGGGATTTACAAAATAAAATTAACAAGAGCAAAAAGTGGGATTCTCATTTGCCGGCAACAACTGATAGTAATAGGAAAAGGGCATCCAGACCATTGAGCTTGTTCCACTGTAACATTAAATCGTGACAGTCTTTAGCTCAACTCTAGTTACTTGTCCTCCGAAGCGTAGATTTATCCGACTCCGCATTTGACTGTGTTTCTAAATGGGGAAAGGCTTTGGAAATCCGAACCACAAAGGGAGTTAGGAGT